GGGGCGGGGCGGGTGGGGAGCTGGGGGGGGGAGGAGGGAGCCCCCCATTTAGGCCTCCTGCGTGCGCGCTTGGGCGAGCTTGCATGCTAGCGCACCCACCCCCACCCCCCCCCCCCTCTGTGCAGCGCCATGCGCGGGTCTGCGGGCTGCGGCGGGCGGGCACGGCGCTCTTGCACACACCGGGCGCGGGTGTGCTCGCTCGGCGTGCTGGGCGCGTGCTCCCCGCACGCTCGTGCATGCTGCATGCGCTGTCTTAGCTGCGTGCTTCGTGCATGCTCGGTTCGCACGCCCCACGCACACTCCGTGCATGTCCTCTGCAAGCACTGCACACGCGCTCTTTCCTCATGCTCTTTGCACGCTCGCCGCATGCTCCATGCACGCCCTATGCAAGCTTCAGGTACGCTCTTTTCTCACGCTCCGTGCACGGTGTCCCTGCACGCTCTGCGCACGCTCTGCGCACGCTCTGCGCAGACTCTCTCTGCACGCTTGTGCTCTCTGCACGCTCCATGCACACTTGGAGAGCACTCCTGATGCTGGCGCACTCTCTCGCAAATGCCATGCACAGTCGCATCTGCACGCTGCACGCACGCTTTCTCCGCATTCTCCACGTGCACGCTCTCCACACAATCCGTACAGTCTTAGCTGCACGCTCTGTGCGTGTTCTCTCTGTGTGCTCCACATGCTCCCTCTTGCACGCTCCGTGCATGCTCTCTCTGCACGCTGCATGCACGCTCTCTCTGCACACCCTTGTGCATGCCCTCTTGCATGCTTTGTGCATGGTCTCTCTGCACACTCCAGGCACGCTCTGTCCACATGCCCTGTGCGCGTCCTCTTGCATGCTCGGTGCATGATCTGTCTGCACGCTCTGTGCATGCTCTCCCCGCACATTTTGTGCCCGCTTCCTCCGCACGCTCTCTGCATGACGTCCCTGCACACACTGTGTGTGCTCTCTCTGCATGCTCCATGCATGCCCTCTTGCACGCTCTGTGCACGCCCTCTCTGTTAGCTCTGTGCATGCTCTCTGCATGCTCCCTCTGCAGCCTCTGCACGCTCTCTCTGCGTGTTCCGCACACGTCCTCTTGCATGCTCCGTGCACGCTCTCTCTGCACGTTCTACCTGCATGCTCCGTGCGTGCCCTCTTGCATGCTCTGTGTGTGCTCTCTCTGCACGCTCCATACGTGCTCTCTCTGTGCACTGCGTGCACGCTTTCTCTGCACGCTCTCTCTGCGTGTTCCGCACACGTCCTCTTGCATGCTCCGTGCGTGCTCTCTCTGCACGCTCTCTCTGCGTGTTCCGCACACGTCCTCTTGCATGCTCCGTGCGTGCTCTCTCTGCACGCTCTCTCTGCGTGTTCCGCACACGTCCTCTTGCATGCTCCGTGCGTGCTCTCTCTGCACGCTCTCTCTGCGTGTTCCGCACACGTCCTCTTGCATGCTCCGTGCGTGCTCTCTCTGCACGCTCTCTCTGCGTGTTCCGCACACGTCCTCTTGCATGCTCCATGCATGCTCTCTCTGCACGCTCTGTACATGCCCTCTCTGTTAGCGCTGTGCATGCTCTCTGCGTGCTCTCTGCATGCTCCCTCTGCACCCTCTGTGCATGCTCTCTTTGCGTGTTCTGCACACGTCCTCTCTCACGCTCCGTGCACGCTCTCTCTGCACGCTCTCTCTGCGTGTTCCGCACACGTCCTCTTGCATGCTCCATGCATGCTCTCTCTGCACGCTCTACCTGCATGCTCCGTGCATGCCCTCTTGCATGCTCCGTGCGTGCTCTCTCTGCACGCTCCATACAGGCCCTCTCTGCGCACTGCGTGCACGCTTTCTCTGCACGCTCTCTCTGCACGCTCCGCAATTGCTCTCTGCGCACTGCATGTGCGCTCTCTCTGCATGCTCCGTGCATGCCCTCTTGCACGCCTCATGCATGCTCTCTCTGCACGCTCTGTACATGCCCTCTTGCACGCTCTCTCCCGCACGCTCCCGGCAAGCACACGTGCTTTCCGTGCGCTCCCTGCACGCTCGTCCCGGCGAGCAAGCCATTAAAGCGACGCCCCAGGAAGGCGGGGGACGGAAGAGGGGAGCTCCGGGTGGGATCAATAGCAAATTAGTGACTTTACGCCCAGCTGAACGATGCCCGGTGGCAGGAGCGGGGCCAAGATGGTGTCCCCGCTCGCTTGCCGCCGCCGTAGCGCACGCATGTCCCCCCCACTCAGGCGCTGATCTCCACGGCATTGGCCTCCTCCTGCTCCCGGATGACATGGACGCCGGCAGTCCGCAGCAGCCGCGGGGCACCGCGGGAACGCGCCGGCGAACCCGGTGGCGACCTATGCGTCCGCGTCGAGGCGGGTGAGCGAGCTGGCGAGCGATGGTAACGACGAGTCGAACGCCCCACCGGTCCCGGCGAGCGACCGGCTCTGCCGGTACCGGTGAGGGGGTGTAACCCGGTTCAACCGTGCCGCGGGGTTCAGGCGGTGAATCCTCCTCCGCCTCCGGCGAGTCCTACCAAAAGCCAAGGGTAGACGAGCGTGCGAAGCACGCGAGAGCTGGCACCACGACGCAAAGCCGGCGCGCTACCGGCGCGCTACCGCCTGCTCACCTTGTCCTTGAGGATGTACAAAGCCACCGGGTTTTTGCGATCGTGCTCACCGCTCCGTGGGATGCCCTCGGCTGCGTGGAGGCAAGGCGTTGCTTACCGCGGCGGCGGCATTGGCGTTGCCCAACCCGCCGCCGCACCGCGGCCGGCACTCACCCTCGTGCTTCAGGCGTTCCTCGTCCTGCTCGGTGTATTCGGAGGCCGGTTGCGTCTCCGCTTGCCGCTTCTCCCTGGGGAAGGGACAGGGGATGGGGCAGCACTGGCACCGCGGTGGGGGCAGCGGGGGACCGCTGCGGCTCAGCGGGGAAGGGCCCAGGGCTGTGGTGAGGGAGAGATGGGATGGGTGGGATGGGGTGGGATGGGATGGGGTGGGACAAGATGGGATGGAATGAGATGAGATGAGATGAGATGAGATGAGATGAGATGAGATGAGATGAGATGA